ATTTTCCGCCATCTTTCCCCACGGCTAACGACATTCGGGCCTAACCGGCCTCGCGAGAAGAGAGCTCGCGCGGGCGTGGCCGAGAATGCGCAGCCTATTGGCCGCGCTGCAGCGCGACAGCGCCCCCGCGGACCAACCGGCAAGCCGTGACCGGACCCCTCCCGCCACTCCGCTCGGTCCCGAAGGCGGGTGCTCCCTGGCGCTTTCCCAGCGTGCGTCTGCGCGGCGTCGGCGGCGGTTGTTGCTGGAGACTCTGCCTGTCCGCCGGTCTGTCTGTCACGCTGTCAGCCAATCCCGTTGTCAGTCAGCCAGACGAGTGGGGGGGGGGGGAATCCTCTTCTGTCAGACCTCCAATTACCACCGTCAGGCAGCCCGTCACCAATTTAACCCCGAGCAGACCGTGACTCCCCTTCCACAGTGAACTATGGCTAGACTGCTGCTCAGTCTCAAATTAGTCCTAACTCAAATCACACAATGGGTCAGTCACCACAACTGTCTAGTCAGATCCCGCCCCCCATTCATACCGTCAGTCACAAGCAGCAGCCATCCGTGCCCTCGGGCCAGCAGCAGTTCCCTTGAGGAGGACATACGGCGCTTCCTAACAGCCACACTGCTAGTCAGCCAGCCTGTCATTGCCTTCTTCACACTGGCAGTCACTCAGAGGCCTCTCCGTCTACCCTCGCCCTGGCACGTGCTCTGAATCCCTCTGGGGAAGTCATCTCACACTCGGCTTAGGAAGCCTCAGCCACCAGCCACGCTCTCAGGCAGGCTGCGATTAGGTCTGACCAGGCTGGCATTCTCAGCATCTCATGTAGCCCTGTCGGGCAGTCACGCTGTCTACTGTCAGTTGTCTGTGACTCTGTCATTCTCCCCTCATTCCCACCATGATCAGGCACTTATTTTCTCAGAGCAAATAGTCACAGCAACTAAAGGTAGCATTAAGCCTCCACCCCTCTGGTCAGTGGGTCAGCAGTCTGTCCTTTCTCAGGGAGGCGTGCCCCCATTGGACAGTCAGTCAGTATCCTCTGACCCATCTGGGCAGCTGTGATTCTAACCTTGTTCAGCCAGCCTCCTCAATCTTGCAGTTGGTGGGCTGGCCTGTGACTCATTTAGACTGCCCCTAATCATGTTGACAGTCAGCCAGGTAGCCATTCTCAGCATCCAACTGAGTACACGGTCTGTCAAGCATGCTGTGATTGGGTCAGAATGGTCAGCTGGTCTCCATAGACAGCTGCCTATATCAGACGGCCACAGATCTGTCCATTACTCAGCCTGAAATGCCTTCAGGGTAGCCTTCCTTTACACATCGTCAGGCAGCAGAACATCCAATGCTCCCTTGGGTCAGGTGTAATTCCTAGCAATAGTCATCCATTCAAAGCATCTTGCCACCCAGGTGGGCAGCAGCAAACATCATGGATCAGCAGTCAGACAGAATGTCAGTCCCTCAGGGGGCTTTCTGTCTTCTACACTGTCAGACCGCCAGCCGCAGCCAGTCCCAGGCGGGCTGTGATTCGGTTAGATATTCAGTACCACACAGTGTGGGGAAACTGCACTGTCAGTTCATCAAACTCCCCCTCTCCCTGTCAGTCCATGAGTTATGTAGTCAACCAAATGGTTATACAGTTAAGCAAATGGTTATTCTGTCTGCCTGCTAGTCCAGCTGTGAGCTGTGAGCTGTGAGCTGGAGAAATTAAAGGTTCCATCACCCCTTGCTTACCATGAGTGGAACAGCCAACAGCTCACCATGGATTCCTTATTCCTTCTAGAACAGTGTCAGATGCTGGTCCTCACATGCCCCCCAGTCTCTCCAGGCAGGCGGGACCTTCCCACTCTGAAGAACCCAGGAGGCCTGTCCAATCCATGAGAGTGGTTTAAATCATGACCCCTTTCTGCCTAAATCTTGAGGGGCAATGTGGGGGTCTTTGGGGAGCATCCTTTGGCCCTCCTCAAACAGTCTAGGATAGTGCGTAAAGGCATAGATTCTGGTAGCTCCATGACCTGGGTTCAAATCCCAGCCCTACCATTTGCTAAATTGTGTAAACTTAGGCATTTTCTTCATCTGCAATCTCTCACTAACCTGGTAAATGAATCTTTCAAAAGAACTAACACCTTTTCAGGAGACCTCAAAAGTAAGAGGCTACTCTTATTACTGTGTCTTACTCCCAGCCACTTGTCTGTTCATTGAGCATTAATGAATGCCTAGAGTGTATATTATCTTGCCCAGCACTGGGGCCAATACAGGGTTTTATCCATTCCATGCCACACAGGTTTGACCTGTTTTTAATGTAAACCTCATATTGGAGTGTAGCACACCTACAGAGAGTACACAGACCATGGATGACTAGTGGAATGACTTTTCACCAGCAAACATACATGTGGAACCAGAATGCAGGTTAAGAAACAGCATTGCCAACCAGGGCACAAGGCGCACTTAATTTTTTAACATCTCTGAGATCAGGCTGCATCTCTCCATCACTGGTGGATCATAATTTAATTGGCAGTACTTCCTTGTCTTTCTTAGTGATATATAAAATAATGGTGCATTTTATAATCAGTGGTGACTCAGGATCAGTGACACCCAGTAATAACAATAGCAGCAGCAACAGCTAATATTTATAGATGCCTACAAGGAGCCAGGCACCAGTTATTTTAATTCTGGCCACAGCCAGTGAAGTAAGAATTTTTGTCTTCATTTTAAAGACTAAAGAAACTGAGGCCCAGAGGGGTCAAGCAACTTGCCCACAAGCAATTCTTTTACCCCAGGTCTGTGCCTGCTCTAACCAGTGCTCCTAGGAATTCAGAAGTTGTGTGATGTAACATCTTTTCTAGGACAAAGCCTGCCCAAGGGGTTCTGCAACATTGATTTCTAGAATTTCATCAGGGGAGTTTGGAGTGGGGGTAAGTAATATAAGACCTTTCTAGACTCAGTATTCAGGGACTTGGCCGGGGTGGATGGCGGGTAGAGTGCAGATTGAAGAATAATGAAAGAATTAAAGGGAAACTTAGACTCCTTCAGCTTCCCCGGCTTTGGGAGAAGAGCCAGCTCCCACTCCCATACCTCCTACCTCACACCC